TACACTGCTTTGGATTATTTCCAGGATTGCAGACTATTCAGGATGTGTAAATTAAGGAAGTCTCACAGTCCAATGGCTGTGACTGGAACATACACCATGGCTTTAGCTCATGATCATTTTCTAGTGCTTTTCTTGGCCTCATTCTCACAATTTTATTGTTCTGAAAGACAAATGTTCTGTATTTTTAAAGCCTCACTTTAGAAAGAATTTCTCTTTCCTTTTCCTGTATGTGCCCAGTTTTATTTCTCAAGCATGAAGAAAAGTGAAGATTAATCATTCTTTTCTTGGCATTAAGGTCAGTTGGGGCTTTTATTTGCATTCACCTGGCCAAGTCATAAATACCATTCCACACCTATACATACTGTTCCTTTAGTTAGAATAATAAATTGATTTCACTTAATAAAATAAAAGCCAGGTTAGTCATCTTATGTATAGTAGAGAACACACATTAGACAGGTATGTGGGAGAAAAACAAGATATTAGGAAGGCCATTCATCTAACCTTGAAGTCTAAAATACCCAAGCCACAAATATTTATTTGTTTCTCTACAGTTTCTACTATATACCCACAGCATATGAACTTGGCTTTGCTGTTTTTTTTCTTCCCCACACTCCTCTCTGCCTTGTTTCTCTCAGAGTTTCTCCATATCTTCATAAGCCAGGGTTTTGTGCCTCATTAACCAGGTTGTTAGTGCTACTTAGTAACATAGGACATGACACACTAGTCCTGATGGACGGTCGTTGAATTTTTGGGGAATCTGGACAAGGATGTCAGGAGAAACAATGCAAGTCGAGGGCAGGATGTTAGTTATCAGATGAAGACTTGTTGATGATGATGGTGACAATTCTGAGAGATTTGGAGTATGTGTTCAACATTCATTTTTAATCCTTATGGAGGCAAAATCATTTAATTTTCATACTGGCTGTCATGATATCCCTACTAGAGAAACCACAGCCATACAGCTATCTATCACATACTTCTTTTTGCTTAAATTAAAATGTGTACTTGTTCCATGTCCAAAATAATGTCCCTTTTACTCCTTCACGAATGGTCTGTCAGGACTGAAGAGACAGCTCAGCGGTTAAGAGCACTAAAGCACTGCCTGTTCTTCTAGATGACCTAGGTTCAATTCCCAGAAACCTCATGGTAGTTCACAAATGTCTGTAATTCAAGTTCCAGGAGATCCAACACCTTCACACAGATACACATTCAGGCAAAACATTAATCAATGAATATCAAATAAATAGACCATTAAAAAATTGTTGCCAAACCTTTTGACCTGAGTTCAATTCCTGGAACTCGCATGGATGAAGGAAAGAACTGACACCTTCCTACAAGTTATCCTTTGACTTTCATATACGTTCAGTGACATACAACACTCCCTACCCCGAAATAATTTGAAAATAAAAAGAAATAGGCCTTCAATTTTCACCTATTAAGTGAAAAAATGTTAGCAGTTACTACTAAGTTTTCTTCTTGTTTTAATATACTCAAAAATATAAGGACAAACACATCTCAAGAAAATTGATGGTTTAAGTTTTGTCATTGAATAAAATCTTGCAAGAAACAAAGGAATGGTCTTCATCTGAACATCTAGGAGCTATGAAATAAAAGACTACAATCTGGGACAGGCAGAGCTTTAGTATGTGTTTCAAAGGTTCCTAAAGCTGAATATAGTCTTTGCCTCTTATAGCATGTAACTGGTACTTTTAATAATTTACTAGTAAATTCCTATGAAATGGAAACTAGACCCAAATCATTCATATAAATATATATTTCCATTATATGCATATATATAGTGTCAATAATATCCCACAATAAACCAAGGAGGAAATCAATCCTATTTGCTCAAGTCCACATGTCTATTCTGTGGGAGAGCTGGAAGTTAAATTTAGATGTGTTTAGTTTTCAACCTTTCAGTCAATATACTGTATCTGCATTCTATTTTTAGCTTCTTTGGATCTGTACATTGAATATCGCTTGCATCGATGACATTTCTCACTAAAACCTCTGCTTAGTTTGTTCACTAGCATATTTCCCATTGCTGCATGAGTGGTGACAACCAGCCAGTAACTTATGATGCATGCGTTTCACTGATATTAGAGACTCTGGGTCACTTGCAGTCACATGTCTATTGGTAACTCTGATTCTCTTTCTCGCTAGATATTTCAAATCATATAGAGCAACAACCCTCAAATGAGCATAGACAACCCACACCAGAGAAGACATGTACAAACTCCAACCTGAGAAAAATTTCCACGAAGAATACATCAATCATGTGCGGGTGATTGGCATAACAGAAATCCTCCCTCACTGAATGTGGGCTGGCAGTTTGTTCTGTACTTCTCAGAAGGGATTATTGACACTTTCAGAAAATACAATCTGGGACCCTGATAGCGAATTATCTTTGGTATTAAGAGAAATTGAAGCTAGTTGTTGATCTGTGCCCTAGGACAGCCTAATTTTCATTTTAACTCAGTTATTTGGCACACTATGCTTTATGTAAGAAACACAAGATCATGTATATTTCTATTCATTTTTTAATCTTATTCATAAAAGAAATGTCCTCCAAATCTAACGGCATAAGGAGCATAGATAGAATTCCTTGTAAAAGACCTTTCAGATCTTACAACTATTTTGGGGGTGGGATGGGTATTTTTGAGCCATGTTTTTCTTTTTATCACATGAGTACAAGTTTATTTTAACCATGGGCAAATTTTGTAAAATAATGCTAATGGGGTAGCCCTCTTCTTTCCTAATTCTTCCCAATTCTTCCCAATTAAATCCAACTGCACTATTCATTTAGAAATTTGATAATGCTCTCTTGTGTGAGTTCTAGGAATATTTGAAAGCCCATTGCATATAAATTATATCATGGAAAAGCTGTATAAATATTCTATTATGGCACATGCTGTTCTGAGGATCTGTCAGGATTTCCTTTATACACTCCATCTTGAGTGGTATATAAATCAGATGTAAAAATTCATGTTGGACTGAAACTCAGCACAGAAAGCCTCCTCCAGTGGAAAGCGCTCTCTTCAGAATGTGGTTTGAATTATGTTGGCCATTTTTAAGTTATAGAAGTACAGAAAATGTATTTGTGGTTTTGAAGAAAAGAGGTTTTTCCATTTTCATAACTCATTAGGAAACTTTACAGGCCTTCAGACCATTTTGTGGTTTAGTTTTTCTCAATTTTTTTTCTCTCCAAAGCAATATTAAAAGCTGAGTGGTGTCTGCTATGAACTGATCATTACTGTTTCAAACAAAAAGGTGTATGTGGGTATATGTATCCAGCTAGATGTTCCCAATGAAAACGTGACTAGAGTGCATGATTGGGCCTAGGCTTATCAGCTGCCCATTGTTTACTCTGGGTACCAAGTGAAATAAGGTCTATTACAGCAAGACCTTCTGAACTCAGTGCAAAATGTATGCTTGACATTGTGAAGCTGCATTTTTAACTCACAGAAAAACCTATGGGAGTTAAATGCTGCTTATTTGGCCAATGTTTTTTTCTCTCTCTCTCTTAAATTCTGTTTGCTCTAACAGTGGTTGAAAGTGGCTGGCTCCATGTTTGAAATGTATTAAATAATTAAAAAGATACATTTTTGTGCAGAGGTTACTTTAAATTCATTGAATTATTTTTGTGTGTAGATGATGTTATTGAGTATTATCCCAAACACCTAAGTTTTTGCTTTAGCATATATAGAAGTTATGATTATACCATCTCTTTTAATAATATAAATTAAAAGCTAAGAAAGTTTCATTTGGAGTGAGAAAGCTGGCATAGCTCACACAGTAGACTTTCTAGTTATGTTCTTTCAAGTGCCTTGAACATAACATTAAAACTGTATTTTCTCATATACTTAATTGCTTTAAATTATATTAACTTAATTCACTAATCAACAAGATCAACAAATTTAGTAATTACTACTTAATGCTTTATCCATAAAACACACAATTGTTAGCATCTTCTCAAAGTAACTTTTAAAAAGTATCTATTTAGTACTTGGTTTCTGAGTGTTTTCATTCTTTACACAGCTCCCTCTTCACCATGTTAAATTATTTCTGGTGGAGTTACTGAATTATTTGTTTTGGGATAGTTAGGATGAATCACTCAGAGAATAATCAAACATTTGCCTGTTGCTAGAAGGGCAATAGGGGTTTTTCCTTTGGGATTCAGTGAGGAGCAGACAGCAGTCTACATGCTCCTAAATGTTTTATCTGCTAACTGAGTGTCGTGGAAATTAGCCAGCTCAGTACTACAGAGTGAGCTAAAGGCTACTTCTATTTTTTGACATTAACAGACAGGCAGGGTTACTAATGAGGGGTCATATCCCCAAACTCTAATCTGTAGAGCTGAATATCCTTATTTCTATCTGGGTCATTTTTTTATTCTGCTCCACTTACTTTTACTAACTAAATTACACTAATTTGTGTTCCACATTGTCACACTTGCTATAATTATAAAATGTTACATGCAATTTATACATCATTACAATTATCTTTCTGATAGTTCATAATTGAATTAATTTCTCTTATGATTTAACCTAGTATACATTACTCCAAACATCTTTATATAACTCGATCAGTGATTAAAATCCCCTGCAGATCTGCAGGGAAAATTTACACATTTCTGAGCATTGGGTACATACTGAAATACAACTTTCTATTACATATGTTTCATATATTTCAGAGTGGAGTATGGGCATTTAAGAATCATCAAATAAATATACTCTAAATAAAATAATTTCATAAATGAAGCCTCTGTAATTCAAGGTTTGAAATCAAGCAGATAGTATTACACGAAGCAAAAACTGGATTACACACTTATTTTCCTTAATTTGGACTACTAGAATTCTATTATTTAAAGAGAATTAACCTGCTAAACCTGACACCATTATTTTTATAAACAACCAACAGATTTTTTCGGTTTCTTATTTCCCATAACATGCAAAATAATGACAAATAGAAACTTTCAAGTATGTAAAACATCTCCTTACCTTGATTTTACCTTTAAGCAGCCTTTTATTTGTCTATTGGGAGCTTCTTCCAATGGTTTTACAGGCTCTGGCTCTTTCTTTTTCTTTTGACAAACCAGTACATAATTGGTGCCATTATTATTTGACCAAAATGTACCCACAGAAGTCTCATATCGTATACAAAACTCAACTTTACTGCCATCTTTTTGATAAGGCGGAACCAATGAAATCTTAAAAGAGAACTGGTCAGTTTTACCATCACAAGAATTAGGAACATATTCTGCTAAAATGTCATAATGAGTCTGCCAGGCATCCAAGGACATGCGCACATATACTAACTTCTCAAAAGAAATATTCAGAACTCGAATAATGCCCTTCACACTTGTCGACCCAGGGAGGTATTCAGTCGACTCCAGCATTGCTTTCTGCACTTGAAGCTGTTCCATAAGTTCTTCTTTTGAAGAGGGTAAGTCAAACAGTGGAGACAAAATGTATTCTTCTGTGTGGAAGATATCCCTACTTAAGCCAAAATCAGTTGAAACACTTGGTAATTCCCAGCAATCAAATTCTTTAATGGACACAAGATTGAATCCAAGGCTGTCAGCAAAAGAAACCCTCCGGGACGCTGAAGTTGGGGTGTCCAGGTAAGTGTCTTCGGAAGATCCCGACCCTCGTCTGCTTGGCTGAGGGGAGAAGCCAGGCTTGAAGGTCGCTTTAACTTCCTCATCTTCACACACAGAATCAGACACATTAGGAACTTCTAAAAAATTATCTTTGCTAATCTGACCAGGTTCCTCGGCAGGCTCCATTTGGACTTTCTGATATCAAATAAGAGAAAGCTGTACAGCAAGTAGAGGCTGATATTTGAGATGCTGAGGCTTAAAATAAGTGTAAGGTTACAGTTGACATTGCAAAAGAAGTCAGCTCTATAAATAGGTCCAATGGCTTGTAAACTATGCTAGCCTGCCTCTAAAGGCCTTTCCAATGATAGCGTCCATGCTGCTCTGGCCAGGATGTTAAAAAGTTGCATTTGCTTATGAGCTCAGTTCCAGAGACATCAAATCATTTTATCATTTAAAATATTAAAATTAAGGGTAAAATGCTACTTTAATTAGTTGCTGTGAAAATTTAAATATATAACAGAAATAAAAGCGGTGAACTATTGAATATGCACTGTGAGTTCAATCCACTCCTGAAGCATGTAAGGTTAGACAGGGAATGTATGATTGTTTGTAATTTGGAGAGATCTGTGGCTTGCTAAAAATGATAACTAGCATTTTCTGAGACTTACAGTATCCAATGTTGACTGTCATGGGTCAAATAGAAGTGTTAAAAAATAAGTAAAAAATGAACTAGAAAAAATTTAAATACTCATATGCCTTAGCACAGAAATCCACCAGTGAGAAATCTGTCTTGTTAATATGATGGGACCATAATACAGGTCAATGTCACTGTGTGCTCATTGCCTAAAAGTTTATTTTAAAAATATCTCTAAATACGATTGAAAGGCTGGAATGAAGGAAAGTGATAAATAATACCACATACAAAGATAGAATCCTTTTAGTGATACAAAAATTAAACAGCTAAGTAGAAAAAGGAAAATAAACATGCAAGGATGTGTGTGTGTGTGTGTGTGTGTGTGTGTGTGTGTGTGTGTAGAGAATTCCTGGAAAGCTAAAATCATTTTAGTGGTTTTAGCAATCTTCAGGGACTGAAATATTTTTTGAAATTTTAAACATGATGAGCATTGCACTTATAAATTACCTAAAGTTATAAAATACCTATAATTTTAACTAAATTAAAATATAAAATAAAAGAGATAATCAAAAGGTACAATGGTACCATGTCTTTCAAGTGACAACTTTATAAATATTGTAACTTTTTGTATAACTTTAATTGCATAAATTCTGTGACTGAAGATTTATACCAAGGTAGGAAAAGTATGGCACTTAGGACAATAATAAAGTAAATCTATTTAGGTAATACCTCTTCTACATAGCTAGGATGGATTTGGGTCAAAATAATCTTTTCAGAGTGGCAAATGAATGATATCACATATTGGGGAATTAGGAATTGCCATTTTTCGGGGTACATAAAGTACATCGTTATGTAGTGAAAGGAACTGTCAACAAAACATTTCATAAATGTAAAGCACTCACACAAACATGGAAATGATTAAGGGAAGCAACCATGTAATGGTTTCCTAATGCAATCTATCCATTGACTTAGAAAGATGAAGACCCTGGTTCCATATTGTATTTCTAGGACTTAATAATTCTACAACTTTCAGCAGTTTGCCAAAATTTTCTGTTTAATTTTTACAGGGAAGTGTGAACGATGAAATATGATGCACAGACGCTGAACCTAATAGAGACAATCATGTTTGTTCCTTTGATAGGCTGGGTTGCATACCAACCCATGATAGTATACATATCCCATATATGTTTTTCAGTGGCTGTAGTCTGCAAAGCTAGCTCTACAAAATATAAGAGGGATGCACATTAGAAAATGGTCTTGTTTACTTGATTTGACTCTTCCCTTTTGATGGTTCCTCTTCAATAAAGAACACTCTCTTGGCAACTGGCACCTTTCTTTAGGGTTGATAAGCATTACATAATTGGAGTCAGTGGATGTGTCCTTAGTCAGCATGTTGCTAACACACAGTGACCTCATCTTCCTAATCCCCTCTTATTTGTCAGCTCTCCAGTGCTTGCTTTCTTTTTAAATCATTGTTTTAATCTTCTCTGAAGTCTTCCCAGCTTCCTCTGTTATTCTATTAATAATCTGCCTCTGGTTGAATGTAGGATCACAAACCAAGTGCTTATGATGCTTATAATACAAGCAAAATGACCCACTACCATCTCCATTTGAGTGACTGCATATTTGTGTATAGTTAAAAAGCAGAATCCTTGGTCATTTCCAGACCATAGTACAACATCCATTTCCTCAGTCCACAGCCTTCAATTTCAACAAGTTATCCTGCTCCACCCCAGCTGCTCAGGTGAACATTTTAGCATAAGGAAAGCTTCTGAAAACTAAACTTTATAATTTTATCTACCTCTCCCTTTGTATTGATAAAACATCTCAAATATCTTTTTATCATATAAAGAACAAAAGATCACATAGGATCCCAGTAAATAGAATGTAGGTGGCACCCTAAACTAAAATAATTCCAGGAGTCTATTTATAACCTGCAATAAGACTAAGTCACATGGCTTGTGGGACAAACTCGGACCAGTTGCATAATAGCTATTTCTATTTCTAAAGGCATAGAAAGGGACATGAGCAAAAGAACTTAAAAACATAAAGTGCCATGAGGTATTTACTGGCGAGACCTGTTCAAGGAACAGAACTAACTAATAGCATTGCTAGCAGTAATACAGGATCATAAATAAACTGGATTCATTATGCTCTGTGCTAAGACATCCTACAAGGATTACCAGTGACTGAAAGAACATGTAGGTTAGTACTTCATTCAGATCTGTCTCTGGGGGCACAAAAAAGGGTGGAAAAGATTGAAAGCTTAATAAAATTGAGTTAGGTACTAGGGATGGAGCATATACATATATACTATATATATATAAATATGTGTGTATGCATTTAAAATATTATATATGTAAAACTTAAAATATGTTTTCTTTATAAATGCTCCATATTAGGCAGCACAATTGTTCCTTGATCTTTTACTGTCAGAATTTTTTAAAAAGGGTTGAAGAATTTATTATCTATATATCTGAAACACCAGGAGTCACAAATAAGAAAGACTGTGTATTTAGGCAATGACAGGGGAAAATGATTTTTTTTTAGATGAATTGTAGCTTACTAGCCTCTTTTTTTAAATATTGGTCTATGACCACAACCCAAAGTCAAGAAACACTGAGTCACAACAAAATCTATGTCAGTGCCTCCTAGCTAGAGAAGTAAATTATTAAAATTGCTATGAGAGGTACTCAAATTATATATAGATGGGAAGCAATATCAGATCTACAAAATAAGATTTCTGCTGCTGAAGGTCCTCTCCTGGGGTCTGGTGCACTGACTTGGTTTAGTTGTATGATTGCATGATTTATTGACCTTAAATTTGGGAACTTGCATTCTATTCAGTGAAATAGTTGCAGCCATCATTGCCTCTGTAATGTTTATACTTTTTGATATGGATCCTATAAAAAAAAAACTTTGCCAAAAAGCCATTAAATACACTGAAGTATATATTAACAGTTTAGGTGCACTTAGCAAACATTTAAGCTTGCCTTTCACATAAGGAGACAAATTGAGAAAAAGGAAGTGTCCCATTGTTTAGTAACTGAGCTGAGAGTTGAACAAAGCACTTATTTCAGCCTGTGTTCTTCACATTCTAGCACACATATAAGCTCTTGTTTTAGAATTCATAATTAAGAAATTAACCAGTCTTTGAGGATTGTCATTAAAATCCATTTATTTTTAATAATTAACTTTTGTGAACTTTCTTTTTTTCCCATTTGATGAAAGATCTCTGGGGGTGTCCAGATAATTTTTCTTTATGACAGAGTCTCTCAACCTTTTCAACCCATGTGCTCTGGTGGAATATAGGATTTCATACTGTCCTTTCTCATCCCCAGAGACTTCTGTTTGTGAATGACATAATTGCATTTTTAAAAAATTAAAAGAATCATGATCTCTTTAGATCTATTGCTGCCAACCGATTTTTAACAGACACTATAAAAAACAGAGTCTTAAACACAGATTTATTTTTCCAAAAACTCCAATTATTGAGAAACAATCTGCCAATACATTGAGGATCTGGAAGTCATCAGAAAAGAGAAAGTTTATTATTGATGAAGCTAAAATTTTAACAGATATGCCATTCACTACTTGGATAATTAAATGATGCAGTGTAGACAAATGATTTGCTGTAGCCAAGAACTTTATCACCAAAAGCAGCATCTCAATTCTTTTCATTTATGTGGTCAAAGCTAGTGTGATTCTCAGCTATGGAGATCTTATTTTATGTGGATTGTACAGTCTGATCTACAATCAGTTGGCCATTTAATGAAAGCAAGTGACACACTTAGTGAAAGAGTATTGGTTAAATCTTTCATTTAGCATAAAACAAAACTGAAATCTCAGCATTCTTTTCTTAAACTGAAGGTAATCAGCATTATCTCTAGAAGGACAATAAAACTACTTAAAGGCAGATATTACCGATAATGCATTATCAAATTTGAAATTCACCAATAAAATGTTCATAGTATGACATAGTTAGGTGTTTAGAAGTACAGCTAAGTATTAGAGTTAAATATGACAAATAACTTAGAGTTACATTTATGACAAGTAATATGATTTTGGAAATCATTTAGGTGGTTTGAAAAACTCAAAATATTTATTTTTACTCCCCAAACTGAGAAAATGCATGCAAATGTGAGACATTTATCAAGAAATATGTTACCAGAAGAAATCTCGTGGGTGGACAGAGGACTGGGTAGAGATGGGAACATGACAGATTGAGTTGAGCTGTAAAAGAAAGGGAGAGCACTCAAAGAGATGACTGCAAAGGAGAGCTCATTTCGGGGTCAGATAGAAAGCTGGTTCAAGGAATACTCCAAGGACTCTACAAGGATGACCCCAGTTAAGATTCTTAGCAATGGTGGATGCGTAGCCTGAACTGGTCATCTCCTATGACCTGGAAGGACTTTCAGTTGAGGGACTGAGATACCAGCCTAGCTACACAACATTTGACCTACACCCTATCCTGCCTATGGAATTTAAAGGGTTTGTGGATGTGGTGGTAAATGTACCATGGAAATTGTGGGAGTGGCCAAGCAATGACTGC